AACTAGTGTTTCGTTTAATCCACATGAGGATAATGACAAATGGCGGAAAATATAGGCAAATATATAGATCAACTTTAAGATTTGTTATTGAGTATTAAATTAATATATTGCTGATCCCTGATTGTCCTGTTTCTCCTTCTTTCTTGTGGGCAGCATAGCTTTATGTAACAGCTTATTTTGTTTTAATCTATGGATCGACACTTAATACTCGGGTGACGGTTAAGGTTCTTGGGCCTCTTGTTTTATTCACTTTTTTGAGTTTTAAACTTTCAATTTTCATTAGTGCACAAAACCATTTTAAGATCATATATTGAGTATATTAAATATGAAGCCTGCTGTTTTATGTCTCAATTTTTCAAATGAAAATACACGACGCATTTTATGATTAGAGATATTCTGTCAAATGTGCTCACAGGTGCTTTTTTTCTCAAGGAAACGGCCTGAACTTTATTTTATCTGTTGACGAAAAAGGTGCGTTAACATACCTTATAAACGGACACAAACTGAGAGAAATCGTTGTTTGTTAGGATAGCACAAAATAAACAGAGGTATTACAAGATTAAGATTAACAAAAACGATTCAATTTGGAATTCAAAAAAATTATTTTTAAAACAATCATTTTTTTTTTTCAGAAAGCAATGGATAAAATTAAGTTTTATGCAATACTTTATACGGTCTTGTTGACAATGTTCGTCCCTTCCCTTTGTTTGCAAGCAGAAGAGGGAAAAGAGAAACCCCACAAACGCAATGTTATCGCAATAGGTTTGCCATCTCTGGCGACAGTTTCATGGACAGCCGTTGCTCCTGGTTATTCTTTGCCTTGGTGTTGTACTATGGAATTCAAGCAGTGCACCAACATCATATTACAAAAAGACAAGGTAAGTTCATATCTATACACTTGTGGCAATATCGTTCTTTATGACTCCAAATGTGGTAATTATATAATTATCAACACTTGGATGTCTTCTTCACTTCCTTTTAATTTAATTATTGGACCCAAAACGAACACTGTTTTTTTTAAGATGACGATGATGTATGCCGTAATATAGCCTGTGCCAACAACAGAGGTTGGTGTAGAGAGCCTTGTTTTTCTCATGAAGTCATAGATGGCTACCATTCTGACATCTGCGGTGGTCTCTGTTATTGCTGTCGAGATGCAGATACTTTTCCACTCGGAAAATAATTTGTACATGTACAACTTACAAGTAAAAATTCCGAATGCATTAAAGATTTAATGTGTTGTTCTTAAAATGGCCTTATTAATCAATTAATTTGCTTTAGGTCTCAGTACGAATGTTTCACTAGCATTGGTTCGCCATTACTTGTCCCTAGAATTCTACAAAGGTCATTGAGCAGAGACAGATTTTTCAGTGCGACCTTGATTTATCGATTCATCCGCAAGATGGATCTTTACGTCATGTAGTGGTATTCGGAGCAGCGACCTTAGTATTAATTACTTAATGTAATAAACGATTGTAAAGGGTCCATAGGATTATATAATAATTAAGAAATAAAGAAAAAGGTTAAAAAGTTCTCTGGGAAATGAACTTGGTTAGTCACGTGATCAAATCCAGTGAGCCCTTAGATTTGATCATGTACAAATCAAGTTCATTTCCCTGTGAACTTTTTAACCTTGTTTTTTATTACTTATATTTAGATTTGAGACGAATATTCCAATAGAAATATTACATGAACAGCCTGCCGTATCACTATGTTGTGACAAGAAGTGACCTAGAACTGGAAGTTATTCGGTCATAAAAGTTCGCCTAGCTCCAACATTTGAATGTTTACATTGAAGTTTAGCAGTCATGTTCAGGAAATCTCCGTTTACAATAATAGAAAAATAATTGGTATTGAGAATAATCTTGCTTTTTATGAGTTCTTTGTACAGGGTGTTTCTGCAATCATGTCCCGACTTTTTGAATTCAATAAAAAGTTAAGCAGTATTAATGTAAGGAAATTTTTGCAAAAATTTGAAGCACATAACCAAACAATTTTATCATTATAAAAGTTGAAGTATTGCTAAGAACTAAGCACGCTAACTCTCGATTTCCGCCTACATTTTATACCCATCTAATTGAGTATAAATTGCATTTTGGCCATTAAAACTTTTTTTGAATACAAAGAATAGTCAATTGATTATTAATTTTAAAATGAACGTCAAAAAGTTAATTCCCCTTTTTTACACCTATTTTCATAAGGGGGGTAGAAAATTTTATGCATTAAAATCAGGCTTTAAAACATCACCAAAATTTCAAATATGCACGTAAATAGTTAAATGACCCTTAAATCTTTCCGTTTGTTAAAATTATGTATAATTCAAATTATAAGATTGATAAAGTACATTTTTAAATTGTTATCTCGTTCGAAATTGGTTATAAAATGACCATTTTTACTGTTTTTTGGTGAACATATGCCCCCCACCCCACCCCCTTGGAACACAGAAAAAGCTTCGGTATGAATTTGTGAAATAACAATCCATCTTACCTGTAAAAAGGAATTTTTTCAGGGGTGGGGGATGTTTTAGAAATATTTTTTTCCATTTATTTCTATGGTGAAAAGTTTAACCAAAGTTTTAGAGTTATCTCTCATTGTTTTCCCAAATTAGCAATGTTTTATGAAAATTCATATCAATAACTATATAAATATGAAAAATCGTTCAAATTTGTTTAAACCGTTCTTGGTAGCTCAGTCGGTAGAGCGCTTGCTTCGTGATCGGGAGGTCGTGAGTTCGAATCTCGGCCGCGACTGACCTAAGTCGATAAAAAGTGGGTAGCAACTGTTCCATCGCCATGCCCTCGGCACTTTGAAGTGAAAGTTGCGGGTCCTTCGGATGAGACCTTAAAAACCGAGGCCCCGTGTCACGGCAGGCGTTGGCACGATAAAGATCCCTCACTGCTCAATGGCCCTGAGTGCCGAGTAAAGGTCAAAATTTGAAGCCCTTCACCGGTAAATTTTGACGTCTCTATGTGAGTGAAAAATTCTCGAATTGGACGTAAAACAACATACAATCAATCAATCAAGCAAATGTGTTAACATTTGAAAATTGACTTGGAGGTAGGCGGGAGAACAATACTATCGTTCGCAGTTCTTCATTTATTTTTAAGAAAGGCATTTTCTAAGTTTGGACATCAGCAGCATTTTTGATTTACCGCCATTTTTTATTTCTTTAATATAATTACAATGTTTCGAAGTCAGCAATCCATTTTGTCTCTTTAAGTCCCATGTTGCTTAAATTTTGACATTTTTTGCAAAGTCTGTTTCCTAGAAAGATGGTTTTCATATGATTATTTCTTTTTCACAATATAATGCAGTAGTATTGGTGATTTGGTGATATTCTGTTTGCATGGTATAGTTCAAAAACATCCAAAGAGATCCATTTTTCCAGAAAAACCCCAACAACTCAACTTTTTAAGATGGAATCAAAACTTCAATGAAAAAATAATGACGTTATTTTATATTGTTTATATGACAATTATATTGCCGGAAAATATACTCTTAAAAACAGTTATGATGTTGATAATATTTAATCATTTTGCAAAAAATATAGACATGTAAAGTCGGAACATGTTTGTTAAAACACCCTTTATATGTTGAGTAAAAAGTGGTGGTATCGTCTGTTTCAGTTTACATACCTTCAAAGGAATTTCGGATTGAAAAGGGAAGCGCGATTATTCAAACCATTCTTCACACCGAAGAAAGATCTAACGGACATCTGTTGATTCCAAAAAAAAATTCCACGTTTTATTTATTTCATATTTGTTATCACTATCAAGCTTTTATGTTCCGAAACCAGTTTCATAGTATCAAAACCAATAAACGCTTAATGATATACTAGTGTGTATCATTAACCGTCGATTATGTGGATATTTCCTTGTTTCATTAAGCGTCGGTGTTGCTCTGCATTTGTGACGCTTAATGTTATAATTCTATCATTAAGCGGCGATTTAGCATTAGTGGTTTAGAATGTCAACTATTAATGCAATAATTCATGGCATTAAGCGTTGCAGTTGTAACGCTTAATGATATTTGTACATTAAGCAGCGTTTTATCATTAGAGGTTGCTACAATTAGTCCATATCGGACAAACGAAAGGAGTTACAATATGAACTGCAAATGTTCAACATCATAATAGCATACTTGAGCTTAAACACACTTGAATTAAACAACAGCACCAAAATAGTATACATGTCACATGAAAGAAATGTAAAAGTTATGACACTTTCCCCGTCCTGTCAGCTCAAGTATGCAGTGACTTGACGTTATATGCTACTATGACGTCATATCTAGGTAGTTCCGAGAAGTTACTATAGTTGGAACAGTTTGATATTTTACGGACAACCTTATCCTAGCCGCGTATTTACAAGAAGGTTTGCACAAAAGTGGATCCAATTTTTTTTTTAATTTCTTTTCTCTAGACACAGTTTTTAAGAAGTACTAATGGTTTTGGGGAGCTTGACCAAAAACACCACACTCAAACAGGTGCACTAATATTATTTATTGGCCAGTTGCAAGTATGTATTAAAATTCCTCAGCATAAAAAAGTTATTTAACTAAATACATCAAAAGATTTAATGAATTTTATAATACTTTTCTTGTATTCTATTATTGTACATGTATTCCCTGATTTTAAGATTTTGCTAAAGGCTTTAGACTCTTGCTCGCAAAATGAAAAATTAAACCGTCACGTCAAACTCTTTTCATAACTGAAACATTACGGCATTTATTTAATATACATCAAAGAACACAAGAGAACACAAGAGACCAGTGTATGAATTGCAATCACTCTTGTTTAAATATCTTCTTTTCCACTGGGTGTTAATTTTGTAATATGTAAGTGTTGCAATGTCTATCTATCTGTTTTTGTCAAAATTTCAAAGATTATCAATCTTAAAATTGTAGAAGTAGACAAAGAATCATATAAGAAGACTTAATATAACAGTAAAAAGGTTACAATTATTCACATATACAAAACACAAAAGCTTATATAGTGAGCCTGAAAGGTATGGATACTTGGGCACAAATTAAAGCAAGTAAGGAAAAACTAATATATATTGTAAATCAAAGAAAAAATACATTATATTGAACAAAATGGTTGTCAACGGTAAAAAGTTTTTAATTTCAGCAGTGAGGAATATTACAGGTGCTCCAACGAACGTTAGGGTTGACAGTGTAACACCATGGGGCGGGCTCGCCATCCGGGTTCCGGCAGTAGTTGGCTTGGTCACTAAGGTAAGTATAGCGATGTGTGTTTGGGGACTGGCTGTTCCAGGCCTGACATAAGTCTCCGGTATCTGCCACATTATGTGTTCCGTAATAGCGCTCACCTTTAGGATCCGAGCTAGGGAGGCATTCTAATGCTGGAGTCACTGTTAATGAGAATGTTATATAATTTAAATGTATAAGACGCACACTAAATGAAATTCCTTTACTTTAAAAAGTAGTTAAATTAGATTTTGAGGTTCATCAACCCCCTGATCACTAATCAAGACTAATGATTTTTTTCAAAGGAAATTTTATATCTGAAATGCATCTCAGCATACCTTGCGGTAACACAATTTGTCAGAAGTGGCCGTTTAACTTTGTAATTTTATAAAAGGCTAATAGTTATATTTGCCACTGAGAGTTATCTCTCGTATCAGACTATCAGTGAACCTTAACATCATATTTTTCTTGACTCTTTCTAATCTCCTGAGTACTTGTATATATTTTAAGATATCTACATATTTACCACAATCTGGAATTTCACAAATCTCATAACGTTTGTCTGGATCTATTGTGTAGCACCAAGGTGCTGGCTCACTATCAGGATTTCTACAGTAATTTTCAGGTAAGTTTGTTCCCAAGGAATGGGAATGGGGAGTCTGGGATACCCATGCTTGACATGTCCTCCCCGACTTTGTGACGCTGATCTTCCCTTGATATTCCCACCCTGTGGTAGTTCTTTTACAATCAACCTCTTCCAGTACATCTGAGGATTACATTTTAATATTTATGGATATTAAAACAAATAAAGATCATTTTTGGAAATAAAAGTTTGAAGGATCTCAAATAAAAAAAAATCTCAATTAATATGAAATGCATGAAGTGTAAAAGCTGATTAACTTGACACACGAATAGACATAGCTTACCTAGAAATAAAGAGCCAAGAGAAGACTAACAAATGTTAAAATATTTTATACTTTTGTATGCTGGTGTAAAGGAGTACTTTTACCTTCTATTTCACATTTATCCCCTTTGAACCCCTCCAGACATGTACAATTGTAGGACGTTCCGTCCACCTCACAATGACCCCTATTTTTACAAGGATTTGGAAAACATGGTGAATCCGCTGTAAGAAACAAACCAAAATTATGTATGCATCTCCATTTTGAACCAATTTCTCTATAATGCTAGTATCAGATACGTATGGGAAGACAAAGTTAATAAGTAAGGAAATGTCAAATATAGGTACCTTAATTTCTTCATGGATTCGTTATCATCTAAAACCTTATATTTTACCAAAAGGAGACGTTTTTGTATTGTTTTCTTATTTTATAAAGGATATATTACCACATGATTTTATATCACAATATTCCTTCGTTGGGCCTGTTTCACCCTGTACGTGACACCAAGGCTTAGATGACATGTCAGGATTTCTGCAGTAATTGGCATCTCCCTTCATTGATTCTGAAATCATTGGGGTTTATTTTCATGTTTTATTTACAATTAAATCATTCAGCGGTGATCTAAGCAATTCATGAGGAACGACATATAGCCATCTTAAAGGTCAGGTCTCCTACTTGAAGAAGACAGAGAAAGATCGGTTAAAGTTCGTGTCCATTACAATCTTGTTTAAAAATGTGCAATTTTGAGAAAGTATGTATTAAAACCCTGTTTGTGCTCATACCGACTGGCCAATTAAGACAGCTTTTCCCAGAAGCAGATGTAGAAATTGTTCCAGCATAGTCTAAGCCTCTGCCGGTCATAATACAGTCGCTCTGAATTTTCTCTGTGAAAAAATAATACTCAAGTCTCATTAAAACTCTGAAGTGTCACTAAATCTACGCAAACTTCTATCTAGTTTTATATCTGGTCTTTCTTTTATTGTATTACACATTGCTATACTTTCAAATATTTCACAGCTGTGAGCAAAAACAGTATTGGGCTAATAAATTTTTGAAGCCAGCACATGAAATATTGAAATGTACATTCCCAGCAAGATAATTTAAACTTTTGAACACCCCCTTTCCGTATTACTAATGAAGATTAGGAGTTTTCCACGCCCTTACCACATTGTTGTACATCGCACAACTCCCAGCGAGTATCTGGATCTTGTGTGTAACACCATGCTCCAGCGCTGTTGTCTGTGTTTCTACAGAAGTTTTCATCCTTCACGAGATTGTTATATGAATGTGTGTGTGGAGTTTGAGAGTCCCATCTCTGGCACGGAATGCCTGTTTTTGTATGACTAACCGTTCCACTGTAATCAGCTTGGTTCAGTGTATAAGCACACTCAGTTGAAGCTGTTAAATACAGGTTACTAAAAACTAAAGGGAGGCGTGCTTACTTATTGCATTGCTTGAGAGGTATTAGTAATAAATTTAATATCAATCAAAATATGCATTCGTTGAAAAATAATTAAAATATTTTTGCAATTTTGAATTCGACTTGAAAGATGAATTCCGTATTTATCAAATCTTAGCCAAACTGTTATTAACTTTTTATGAGAAAAGTCAATTTAATAATAGGAAAAAACATTGGATAAGCAAAAGGAACTATGTAGTTGCGTATATGTTAGGTAAAGACATACAATTGACCACATTATCTGGGTTTCAGCACACTGTAACTTTATCTGCAGAACATACCACAGTATGGTACGTCACACCAGTCCCATCGTGTCGAGGTAGAAGTCGTGTAACACCAAGGCGCTGGCTCGTCAGCAATTCGACAGTAGTTAGACTGATTGGCGAGGTAGGTATACTCTAAAGAAAAGGGAATCGCAAACTTAAACTGATCATTATATCATACATGTTCTACTTGTATTTTAACTAAACGATATTAGTCTACATATACTTATTTGCGGTAGTTAAAACTTCGAATGTCATATATTCAACTACAGATTCATGATTGCAATAGGAATAACTTACTTGAAGTTACTGTGTGTGGCTCATTCGATGCCCAGGCTTGACATTTGATCCCGCCTTTCGTGTAGTCACGTGTGCCTTCGTACTCTTTTCCTGGTTCAATACAGTCCTTTTTACTGGTCATGTCTAAAATACAAAATTAATAAAGCCTTATCATCCAAAACGATTTTGAATAGCCTTACTTCTTTTACACATCACTATTATTGACCACTTTCTGTTTAGTAAAACTAGCTTTTACTTTTCACCTAAGAGTTGTATGAATTTCACAGAGTTCCCTTATACAATTTGCATGTACGAATCACCGTTTCATACAGATACTTGTTTATCATTCGATGGTCATTAAGGATAACTGCATTTCAGGACACTTAAAAATTGTGACAAAATAAATTTTAAAAATGGGCATTTCTCTTTTAATTGCAGGAATGGCCAATGTCTTAACTGCAACTTTATGTAATTGTCCATCTGTGGATAAATCTAGGTTTAAAAATTCAGAACCTCTGAAATACTCGTTTAGGTTTAAACGAGGCACAAAGGACATAACTTCGAGTGAACAAGTAGAGCAGCTGACAATATGAAGAGAGTTGCTTTTAAAAAAAGGAAAAATCTCGAGTTGACTTCGGCAATTCAGTTTCTTTAAGCGAAGAAGATAACGTATCTCTTACAGATCTGAATCCTACCCAGTTTAATTCACTCGACCTACATGTGTATAGTTTACGACATAGAATAGTTTCAGGTGGAACCGTTCAAGCTATTTTGCTTTAAAAACTCAGAACTGAGCTATCTAGCAGCATTTTGCGAACATAATTCAATTTAAAAAAAATGAACGGTATTTGAGTAAAATGAACAAAAAAAAAAAAAAAAAAAAAAAAAAAAAGCCTTGGTGACTTATTTTGTTCCGAAATATGTGGTCTTTGAGAATATTTGTAGAGAAGATATCGTAAAAAAAACATACAATAGTTGAGAGGAAGCTTCCAGAATCTGGCAGTAATGACACATTTATCCTGCGGAAAGATGGCACATAAACAAGTTCATATTTTTCCTTTTAGAGGAGATGATATAGCGTTTACAAAGGCCGTCCACAAGCCAAACCACTTATGATCTTCAGACGGATTTATCATTGATATTTTTGGACTGTTTCTTGCAGATGGTAATAATAATGATGCTGCAATCTAAAACAAACATCTTTTTGGGGAGGGCAATAGGCTGTTTAACTGAGTAAAAAGGATGATATTTTAGTTTTAGATAAAGGGTTTAGGGTTTCTTTTGATTTGATGAAATCAGTTTAAATGCTGTCAGAATGTCCATATTTCTTGGGAAAGGTCCATGATGCCAACTTGTCACGTCTAGTGACTAGGATAAAGTGAGCAGTTGAGTCTGCAAACGGCAGTTAAAAGGTACCAGTTTTTGGCAAATATAAAAAAAAAGTTTCATTAAAGATACAGGTAGAAGAGTCGTTGTCAAAATGACAAGAATCAATGATGATAATGCTCTGACTTTCCTGCGTCTTTCAGAGGAGTATTTACGTACTCTTAAATTTTGTATATATACCCGCTGAAGCGGGCGTCTTCTTCTTTATTAGAACATATCCACAAAGAGGAAGTTATGACATTTTCATGAGCAAAAAATGCCAGATATTGCAACGCAGTTTAAAACCATTATGAAATTACAAATTTTTGTTGGAAATTGAACAAACTCTATTAAAATGACTTGAAGTAAAATTAGGCAAGGAATAAAAGTAACAGAAGTGACCGAAAAAAGAACCACCCAAAAAACGGCGTTAAGTGCAGTCATCCTATGGGCAGAAGGAAGGATTTTTGTTAACTTGAACGTGCTATCTTTTGCATTATTTAATGTAGATTGTCTGAATAAATATATATTCAACATCATTTCAATCTATGGATTAATTTTCTTTAAATACATTACAGTGCAACTAGCTGAAAAGTTTATTCCAAAATGTATGAAAGATTTTTATCCATATATTAGATATATAACTATTTGATTTTTCTCCAATTTTACATTATACAGATACGATATGCAGAAGCTAAACTTAATGTGTACGAAATATGGAGATAACGAACAGTATTCAACCTCAAAGTCCATAAAAACAATCCAAATCGGGAGCAGAGCAAACACGGACCCCCAAACAAATCAGAGATGGGATCTGTCTCATCAGAAAATGACATGCCCGTTGCAGCTTTCCTTTAGTGTGCATCGGTACTCACCACATTGCCCTAGCTCCCACGTGATCTCATCAAGTGCTACGTCACTATCCCAAGAGTCTCCTGTAATAGCCTCAAAAGACAGCTAAAGAAAATAAAAAAAAACTACTGGCAGTTAAAACAAACTCATTTTAAAATGCATTAAACCTGACTATACATTAAGGTCTCTATACAATTAAGCATTTTTTTGGACATTGAGAAAGGTATTGGTATAAATGTATTATTACTGAGGCTTTCTATTGAAGGTTCAACCCAGGTTACCTGGCATTCACCCCCTGGCAAAAAGCTTAAAGACAACAGATATCCCTTTGTTTACGAAAGTGGGAAAAATACATGCAAATAATGTGTTCCATTTATTTACCCTGGCCTAGAAAAATATGTTAAGAATGCCTAAAGTGATTACAAATTAAATTATTAACTAGATTTCAAATTTATTTAATTTTAGATATAAGGGTGATTTACTCCAAATGCATAAAAATACCAAAGAATTTGACCGCTTTGGTGTGCAATGTATAGAGGATTCTTAACATAACTTAGGTTAGTATGCAGTGATGTCTTACCTTTAGTCCCGCTGTTGCTGGAACATTTACTTTCGCCGTCAACCAATCAGATCCTTGATTACCTTCTTTTGTCCACAGTGATGATTTAGCTGTGTTTGTTCCCTCGGAAAACAACGACAGCTTGTTAACGTTTCTGCCAAACATATTGTATGCAAAAGAAAGGCAACCAGGCTGTTCTGTAATCAGAGAAAGTATAGATAAACTCCTTAATTTAGGAAAGTAAAACAACCTATTCCTTAAGCATTTAACTTCTGAATTCTTCCATTGAATACCCTGTATATGCCAGTTGCAGTTTAAATTATGGTTTTGAATCAAGTGAAAGTTACCTGGCAGGGGTACTTTTGTTTTGAAGATGGCCTTATCTCCGGGTTTTCTGGGTGAGGACATTTCAGCAAATAAGAATCGTTGCCCTTTGAATGCACCCTCCGGTCCCGTCCTTGTTGATATGCTATGTTTCTGCAATTTAAATGTAGTGTTTTTTACTTGATATACGGTAAAACATTTTTTAAAGCAAACATGCTTATAATGAATTCACGCTTACGGCAAAGTGATTATCGCTCCCCGTGATACATTATTAAAATAACGAATACATATGAAGAATTAAGCTTTTAACGACGCAAAATCACTCGTTTCTTCAATTTATAAAACACAATTACCTACTTTGCTGTCTAATTAATTTAAATTATTGTTATCCGAAGCCTTATAAAAATATATCTAGCTCTCATGATTTAAGTAGGCGATTTTTTTTGTAACTTATGTTTCATAACTCGTTTAAATGTATATAAATTATTGAAAAATAAATGCTAACCGATGAGTCGGCAATATCTCAGACATGTATAAAGTCACAGGGCTTGAGTTGTCTTTAAATAATCAACAATTACTTTTTTAAATAATCAACAATTACTTTTTTGATGTCTGCATATACAGTATATTTTAAGAACCCAAAAAGGTAAAAGACATACAAGTTTTTAGGAGTAACGAAAGATCACAAGATGGACTTCTGCAATTCAGTAAACTTAAAGGAAATATGTCAAATGCAAAGTCGTATATCTATTTTATTCATCACATTTAAAAAGAGAAATACCTACAAAACCAATTCCCCATTCAAAGTTATCCCCTTCCTCGATATTGCTGAAGAAACACTTCTCAAACCTCTCGAAAGTACATTTAAGTTGAGCACCATCTACACAAAATAGAAATAAAAATGTATTTGTAAAGATCGATAGAAGTTTATATATATTTTTCATCAATATCTGTTGTTTTTCGACTCATACAAACAGATCTTTTTATTTATTTATATCTCTTTGCTACTATTAACTTAATATGATTGAAGACAGACAAATTCTGTTCATCTGACTTATTGTCTATGTTATAATATACACTTATCCACTTGTGATGAGTGAGATAGTTCTTTTATCAAACACGCGACAGGAACTATTCCCTGAGGGCTTGCCCGAGAGGAATAGTTCCTGTCAAGGGTTTGATGAAAGAGCTATCCACTCACCACCAGTGGATAAGCGTTTTATTACACTGATGAATATCATAATTTCTGACAGCTGAATTATCTGATACTACAGTTTCTTAGGCAAAACAGGAAAACTTCAAAAGAATAGTTTTGAGCAAGTATTTATACTATATTTATTTAAGATTACAACACTGCAAGAAGGAGCTGAAACCCTGATTACGTCACAAACTAATACCTTTTTATTGCGTGGAAATTTTCAGACCATAAAAGGTAGTTATTTTACCTTCTTAACTTTTTTTTTTTTTTTTTATTGACTGACTTTAGACATAAACAAACATACATACACATACACAAACACAGACACACCACGGCTGGAAAGCTTACATACAGATTTTTAGGAATGAACATGAAATATATAAAAAAAAAAATATGAATACACAAGATATACTAAAATAATAATGTACATGACATAAATTCATCTATATGTTTATGTTTTCAAATATCTGGTTCCAGTTAATCCATCTTCTTTTATACACATGAAGTTCATTGTTAAATTTATACAATTTTTCTTCAAATTTATAATACACATATAAGTATTTAATGATATTTTGGATAGTTATATTTTGGTTTTTTCTTGTTTGTATAAAAATGTACTGTTTAATAAGTAGCAATATAAGATTGATAATTGTGTCTTCTTTAGAAGAACCAAATATAACTGTGCATACATCAGATCTTATTATTTTTCCAGTTTTTTCAAATATCCAATCTTCTAAAAGAGACCACAATGGGTTAACTTTAGGACAATAAAAGAAAATATGTACAATTGATTCAACATTTTGCTGACATACAGAACATAAATTATTTTCTCTTATTTTTGACAAAAACAAATACTTATTTGTACCAAGAATCCTATGTATGATTCTAAAATTAAACCATAAAAGCCTTGTGTCTTTTGTTATTGAATAATATTTTTTATGAATTAATTTCCAATTAAAATCCTGCTGTAACTGCAGTTCTTTAGCCCATTTTGATTCACACTTTGGTGAAGTATATACATGTAATGACAAATATGCATCATAAATTGTTTTAGAACCTTTTGTATCTTTATTGATGATTTCCACAAATTTTGGCTGATACGGTCTTGTGACAGAATTTATACCAACATTTCTAACATTTGGCCAAGAATGCAAAATTGCCCTTTTTATGCCTTCATATATAGTAAAAGGGACTTTTAAAGAAAATTCTTTAACAAGATCATCAAAGCATATAAAGTTACCATTACTTTCAAATAAATCACCAACTACAATAAATCCCTTTTCATACAATGGCCTTGAAAAAACATACTTATTTTGAGTCATAATTTTATTATTATACCACAGAGGTTCCAACAAAATATCTCCTTGGTTCAAGTTACATGTTATAAGACTTAAGAAAATACATACAGTACTTCTTTCCAAAAGCTATTTTGTGTATTCTTTGCTTTGGCTTTTGAATATTCTGGCCCAAAATGGGACAGGTTTACAATATTACATTTTGTTATTTCAGTGAACAGTGGGATCCAACTAGACTTTGTAAATAGTAATCTTCTGATCCAAGTTAATTTTAAAGATTTAATGAAACAGTCAATATTGGTCATTTTAAGACCACCATTCTCTTTGGAAAGTTGCATTGTTTTTCTTGAGATTTTTTCTGTTTTATTGTTCCATATAAATTTATAAAAATGTTTTTCCAAATCTTTAATCCACTTTTTGTTTGGCTACCTTCTTAACTTTATAAAGGAAACAATTTAACAGAAGTATAATGAAGTCTTTTATATATATATATATATATATATATATATATATATATATATATATATATATATATATATATATATAACAAATGTGGTCCATTCATTCGGTCAATCCATAGTATACCGAGTTCAAAGAAAAGCACTTCATTCTCGGTCATGATAAGTCTCAATATGTTTAATTAACACAATCATACCTATGACTTGATCACAGTTGCCCCCCGTGTATCCAGGCTGACACACACACTTGTACTGACAGGCCTTCTGCTCGGATGGAATACACACTCCATACTGACAAGGGTTGTCCCTACACACTATAGAAAAAATACGGTTACAAAAAAGTAACAAGCGCAAACGGTGTCATTTGATCAAGACATTTTAAAAAAATTACTGTTTGTATTACTATTTTTAAAGTGCAGTTAGTAGGTATCACTTTGCACTAAGAATGAAATCATTAGTAGAAAGTTCGCTAAAACCGTGTTTTATTGTAATGATTGAAGTGTTTTAAATGACCAAAGAATATAGAAATCTGAAGCACAGAAAAATGACATCAATGTATGAATGTAGTGCCACTAATATAAGTATCAGACAGGTACTTAAATATACCCTCTCTCTCTTTTTCAAAGTGAAGTCTGAATCCTTTTCGTGTAACCCTGCTGCCTACAAATTTGGTATCCATGGTAACGATCATTAATGTGGGTGAATCGACTGACGTCAGGAAGGTTTCTCCAACGATATCACCACATCGACTGTCCATGAATAGATTAAATTATGATACAATTAAGTTAGACCAGCCATTCCAATGTCAATAAAGCATGGTCACATTTTCATAATGCAACAGACGAAGGCTATGATATAATAAAAAGCTAACCTAAGGTCGTATCCAATACATGTATTTTTTTTTTAAATTTTATCCTCAAAATGACTGCTATTACTTCATCCATATCTTCCTTTTTAATGCTTTTTATTTATCAGTCTGACTTGCTTATATTTAAGTGCAATGGAAGGTAATTTCAAGGGTGTTTATAACCGTAAAAAGTGTTACTTTAACATTTACCACTGTTATGTTAGCACATGCCATTTTTGTTATGTCTACCACATAACTTTACACCCCTGTTGCTTTACTGTTCGTTGCGTATCATATTTCCTTACTATATGTTCCGTGTTGCTTTATTATATGTTTGGTTACTTATTAAATGTTTACGAGTTTTCGATTGTATAGTAGTAAAACTTTCCACATGTGAACCTCACTTAATCATTTGCTAGTGTTGCTTTAAATGATAATAAGCACTGGATGGACTTCTGCCATTCAGTTAACTGAACGATGACTGAAAGTATACTGAAAATCCACCGAACGAGGAAGCTCCCCTTTCTAATTTTCATTGACCATTCAGTTGATTAAATGATCTGGGTTCATCCTGTGAAATAAGCTTATTTCTGTTCTCAGCGTCAACTGATCTTCAACTAAAGTTTCTATGATGCTATTGTATGAATGTTACCGGATGCCAGCTTGTCCTGGAAGGTTGTACTGAATCTCCAGCCAATGATAACACCGAACTGTTTCCGGGTTATAGGCCATATGAAGGTCATCTATGGTCATTTTTATAATGTAACCTTCGGGTGCCTGTAATTAATTACGAAGATGTATTATTCTACAAGAAGCTTAATTTGAGCCGCATATAAACTACACTAAAACCTCTATGAATCTCAAGGACCGAATGTAACAATTAATCATCTTTTTGTATATATAAACGTTATCGCATTTCCATAGAAAATGTGTCCTGAGCATTGCTAAAATAAGATTAAGGGGAAAAGCTCAGATTAGTAACAACGATTTACATTACTAAAAGCTATAGAAGGGGGTTAACACCTCTTCGTCAGCCTTTTCAGGAAAGACCTGTGGCCAAGTATGAAAAGGAATGAAGCCTCGATATTCATTTGTGAATTACCTTAACTGCCCATCTACATATTTTCCCCTGTCCGGTAGGGCCGGGGTAATTAGGAGATGTGACTGATACATCTTTGTTTGGCTCTAGGACAAGATCATTCTCCTTAAGATAAACGAATCCACCACAATCTAAAAAAAAATATACGCCACAGTAAGACAGCTGGGGACAACAGCAAAGGCGGATCCAGCGCCGGGAGTGCGCCCCCCCCCCCCCGTTTGATTCTTTTTTTGATATTTTGTTTGTATTTTCCTAAAATCAATGAAAACACCTCCTAATTGTTAGAATTCGTCAGTTTCCGGACCCCCACCAGGGCTTTGCCCTGGAATCACTAGGGGCTTCGATGCAGCCCCCCCCCCCCCGGTTATGAAATTCTTTGACCGCCACTGAACAGATCAAAGGGTAAATGTGGTTTCACAAGGCTACATTAAGTTTGCGTTTGAGAACTGAATCGGTTAGGCATGTTTATTGATTGATTGTATATTGTTTAACGTCCCATTCGAGAATTTTTCACTCATATAGAGACGTCACCATATACCGGTGAAGAGTTTCAAATTTTGACCTTTACTCGGCACTCAGGGCCATTGAGCAGTGAGGGATCTTTATCGTGCCAACGCATGCCGTGACATGGGCCCTCGGTTTTTAAGGTCTCGTCCGAAGGACCCGCAACTTTCACTTCAAAGTGCCGAGCGCATGGCGAAGGAACAGTTGCTACCTATTTTTTTTTTATCGACTTAGGTCAGTCGCGGCCGAGATTCGAACTCGCGACCTCCCGATCACGGAGCGAGCGCTCTACCGACTGAGCTACCGTGAAAGGTGTTAGGCATGTTTAGTTTAGTTCAATAATTTTTCTATACAAGAAATTAAAACTAAATAAATACTCTTTTCATAAGGCTGAATGTTATTTTTTTTTCTACGATACTTGTTCTATTCCAATGAAAATTTCGTCTAAAAAGTCTTTACACGATATTTCTAGTTATCCTGTTCATTCTAGTAAGGCCAAACACAATAAAAAATCAATACTTTCATAACTGCACCTGTTGTAATTAACTTTTACTCTTTATTACCTGAATCTGTAATCACTGTCTGGCACGTGCTCCCAGTAAACCCCTTAGGACAGGAGCACTGACATGTAAAGTTCACGTACCCACCATTTTCACAGACAGGGGGTGAAGTGCAATGTGCTTAAATGAATAAGATGAAATTTATGTTTAGATATTATCTTTTCGAATCTCCCGCCTTTAAAACTGCAAAATACTTTTTCGCGAAACCGTACGATTTTACTTTTAGTATAAATACAAGTAAAAAAGTTAGTATAAATAGTAAGAGAATTATCCTTTTACTGGGGATTATCTAAACCATGCTACAAACATATATGATTTTGTTGCAAATTAAATATCACCAACTTTTCATTGAATATGAATAAAAGTTTATGATCTTAAAGCGATGCATACATATGGATACAACGTCATGCTCAGCACATCTTACAAATAATAGTAGTGTATACTTCTTACCGGTGCATTCATACTGATCCAAAATGTCCTTCAAATCATAAAAGGAGAAGACCTGGTCACTTGGGACTTCCAGAAATAAAAGGTTTTTGTCTCTTAATTCTATTGTGGTTTTTCCAGCGCCAAATGACTGAAAATAAAGCATAAAATTGGTGTCTATAATTCATTTATTTTGATGCAGTACTCGTACCACAATCAGGGTAATTGACTAATTTTGACATCAGCAGCGTTCATTTCAATGCAATTAAACACCAGCAGTAAATATCTTAGAAAACATTTGTGTAATGGAGATGTTTAGTAAGTCAATGTATAATTAACTTTTACTTCAAACAATAATTCTGAAATTTAAATCATCACCATCCTCTTGTAATTTTTTTTTCACACCTATAGTAGCAATAAGGGATCCAATGGAAATCAAGAAGGGATCTTTTTGTTTAAATTAATCAGAATTTTCAAAAGAGTGATAGTGCCCACTCAAATCAACGTAAATCGCAGACTTACCGTATAACCGTATTGCATTACGCTTCCTACATCGTACGGATTCCGATTGTATGTCAAACGTCTGTAGAAATTATACTTCATATCGGGATCGATGTTTTTCCAGACAATTCTGACATACCTATCCCGATCACTTCGAGACTGTTCGTGCCTTTGTCCAATTCTATGCAACATTTCATGAACCGCTATTCCGACCTAAGATATATATGTATATTGTAAAGATCTACACCAATGACTTAGACAATTTGTTTACTGTTTAAAAATGTATTTTTATAATATAAAGCAGTAAAATGATAATAAAGTCTTCAGCGATCTAACATAGGCTTTTTAAACAATAATGTACCGACTCAATGACGTTTGCTGTTAACAATTCACCATATAATTTTGAAAGAAGACAATTATAATGTTGGGTGTTCCAAAATTATTTCAATCATATGTAACCTCACCGGATGCCGATGAGTTGCTTTAAAGTTAGCACTACAGTTGGCACTAAGGACCACTGAGCAGTGACGGATGTTCTTTATCGTGCCAACAGCTGAGTTTTACCGTCTAATTCGAAAGACCCAAACTTTTTACCTCAGGGTGCTAAAAGTTTGGGGTTGAAGCAGTTTCTACCCATTTCTTACTAACTTAGGTTTGTTGCTGCGGGTGTGAGAAATGTTAACTAATTGCAGCACTATGAGTCATTTACTAATCTGAGTGATCATTTAGCAATAAAAATCGATCTTCCAACCGAATACCACGTCTTACCGATCCACATCCGGGTTCTGCTAATGTTATCACGTGTTCATCATTTCCGTAAAACCCAACACCGGAACTACAACCTGATCCGCTAAAACAATAGAATATTGTTATTATTTATCATATTAGACAAAGACATTGGTTACCAGAAAAAAAACACAACATAAAATTTAAAAAAGCAAAAAGAAGCATTGATTTTAAAAAGTTTAAGAATGTCATGTTCCCTTTCTCTTGAATATGTTTCTTTCATAATGTTTATGTTATTCATTATCATAATGTTTATACATAATGTCCAAAACATGGAACAGGGCAGAAATAAACATGATGTCCTTTATATGGAATAACGTCCTGCTAAGTACCTTTGAACTCGAACATATCCTGAATGTCCTGCTTCTGTGGCTACTTCAGATGACCTTGGCTTCCAGCGAATACAAGTGAATTTGTTGAACAACAAAATTGCCTCCTGGAATGGTCCCCTATTTGCGACTGATAAGCAAAGGAAAAAGGTGAATTCAAAGTCGTGGAAAGGGGAATGCGCTGGTTACTATCGCACTCCTTTAATAAAATGTTTTTCAAAGAATATAAAACTTATTGTTCGCCTGGTTGAACTAATATAGATACAGGGTTTTCAACTGTAAAAATGACTTTCAGAAACCACCAAAATTACGTAAGAAAGGGGTACCTTTAAAATATTTACTCTTTGTCTATTATCCAGTGTTCAATGTAGAATAATCATATATGGGCTTTATTTTCACGGCTTTTAAATGACCAAACTTTACATTAAAGAAAGATAAGGATTGTTATGTAACAGCTGCTAAATAACAAGCAGGATGCTACCAAAATAAATGATCAAGTTAAAAAGGTATAATGAAAACTTACGTAAATTATCATCAAAGATGTAAGGAACTATGCCTTTGGGCCAGTTTGCCGAACTCGGTCCAAAATTTCTTTTTCTGCGTTTCTAACGACATAAAATATGATTAATAATATTACTCTGGTTTTACAAGAGATATTGAAATTATGATAAACAAACCATGTTAATTTCATATCATTGACCCTCGAAATGACAATTGCATACTTTATACAATTTAAAACATACTATGTTTAAATCATTTGTGACAAAGCATTACAGAAAAAATGGACATTTTCTAAAAACATACGTCTTTTCCAGGTCCCCCTTCTTTGTCTATTTCTTCTTTTCTCTCTATGGTTTTGTCTAATTTCTGTTCCTTAAACTTTTCCGAGTCCTCCGGATGTAGCCACTTAGACTGTAAAATCAAAACATTTACTTTGTTTGGATTTTTTAAAACAAAATTTGCAGAATTTAATCTATAACATGTAAAAAAAATAAAATAAAATTGATATAAAGTCCTCGAAGATTAACTCACATGTTTGACTTTACCATTCACTACTACACCAAAACTGGACAACAGCTGCTCATATGGATCATCGGGACCGATGTTCTAGAAAAACAATTTATTTCGATATGTCTGGTTTTATGGAAGTTTAATCTAACTCATCTCGAATATCTTAAACACATTTTTTAACAACTGTCAAAAAATTTAAGAAAGATGTGGAAGAAAAAATGAAAACAAGAAGTCTTAAAAACTTTCTATATACGATTGCTTTCTTCAGGGATTTTATAAGACACGTGCTAACAATTAAGGAATTGTGAAAATAATTAAACTTCGGACATGTTGACGTGTTATAAATTTTAAGATCACTTGATATAACTTTAAATTATAGATCATTATGTATTATGATTGCCTGTGCTTATATTAAATTCCATATCATTTTTAATTACTTTTCCTACATGTATCTTATCATCTACAATGATAAATGGGTTTTAAACCTATATATCTCCTAAATGGTTACAAACCTTATTATCTATTTCGTTTTCGTTGTGCGTCTGGTTTTCGCTTTTAGTTTCCCGCTCTTCTTCAACCTTTGAAAATTCGTTACCAGTTGAAAAAGCTTTTTAAACATGTAATATTTACACACTGAATATTATCTCTTTATTTCTGATGAAAACCAGGGTCGTTTATCAATGCTTTAACGCAGCAAAGAAAGCCACCTGTATAAAATTTTTGAGCAGACCCTCTTCCATCAATGAAATGATGGACATAGCAATAATGCAATATTTATCTTTCTTAAATCTACTTTCTATCATTATTATATAGAGATAAATATGAACAATAAAATGTCTTTCTTTCTTTGTCCGAACAGAAATGAACATTGCAGAAAAAAAATACATCACCCGCGGAAGCGGATTATGTGTTGTTGTTTTTTTTCAGCAACAGCTGCAACATTAATTCCCATACTAACAACAACAGAAAGCATTTATTTTTTAAAACACAAAAAATGTAGTAATTTTTAGGGTTTCGATTAATACACGAGAAGGATTTAACATTTCTTCTCAATGTGCCATTGAACATGTATTCATTTGAATAAATATTTTTCTGTAAGCTTACTAGCAATTTGTGGCGAACTTGAACCATTGCCTAAAAGATATGTACTAAATAACATACAGTATTTATACAAAACACCCAATTACGTTTTTTGTTCTCAACCAGAAATAATGCTTACCCGGATTGCCTCGTTTTCAGTAAGTTCCAAAAGTCTCCTAATATCTTCTACAAGACGATCTCTCAAAGCTTTGTAATAAAAGGTGGTAAAAACAACATATAATGTGAAAATTTGTTTTTCTGGTTTCTACAGAAAAAAATTAATGCGAGTTTCAAAATAGTACATATGAGATAGAGTATTAGATAAAAAAAAAACCTTCTGCATCTGGTTTGGTATTATAAAACATTGGACTCAGTGAGAATAGATATTTTATTCTTTTTCACTTTTTTTGAACTTTCCGATGATGAAACATGACTATCCGAGTTCGTTTTAAAGGTGTTTAGACACAGATTTGAACTTAATATTTTCTCAAATTTTCTGTATAATATCACGACTTATATATTGCAATAGCATTTGTTTGTTTGTACGTTGTTTAACGTCCCTTTCGAGAATTTTTCACTCATATGGAGACACCACCACTTTCCGGTGGAGAGCTGCAAATTTTGTCCTATACTCGGCACTCACGGCCATTGAGCAGTGAGGGATCTTTTTCGTGCCAGCACCTACTGCGACACGGGACCTCGGTTTCTACGGTCTCATCCGAAGGACCGGTCTCCACGTCCCACAGTGGGATTCGAACCCGCGACGTAAGGATCAACTCCTTACTCTGCGACTGCAGAGCAGACGCTCTAACCACTGCGCCACGCGGGCGACCAATAGCATTTGACACGAAAATATATTTAAAAACTTATTTTATCTGGAAATTACTGGAACTACGAATTTCGGGACGCATTTGATTAACACATTTTTTGCACTTACACAAATTTTAACTTTATCCTTAATATTTAAGAAAAGAAGCGATTTTGTTATGCATTAATGAAAAATATTACATCTATAATCCAGAAAATTTAGAGAAGAAATGTTCAAAAGTAAAACCAACTCACCAGTATTGTCAGTCCGTGCTCTGTGATGTGTAAAGAGTTTAACAAATTGAACACACCCGTGAAACGTAAACTGTTTTTGTAAACAAGGCACGAGCTCTGTTATTGTTAATGTTTACGATTCACCGGGTGTGTTCAATTGTACAATACTGTGATTGGATTTTGTTTTCAAACATTTCTACTCTGAATTTTCTGGGTTATAGTTTTAATATTTTTCATTAATACACAAAAAATTGCTACTTTTCTTAAGTATTAAGAGAGCGCAAGGATGTGTCAATCCAACGCGTCCAGAAATTCGAAAATTTAAAAACTTCAAGATGAAATTAGATTTTTATTACATTTTAGTGTGAAATGCTATAGCAGCATATAAGTTATGAAATTATACAAAAAAATTGAGAAAATATTAACTTCAAATCTGTGTCCAAGCACCTTTAAAAGTGTTATGGAATTTTGTAAAGAACCATAAATAACAGTTATGTTTGTTTTGCTCTGTTGTTATCTCATTCTTTTATACCTCCTTTCCACGATTTTTAAATGGTCACGGTAAGAAATGAACATCGGATATTTACCTGTATTTCTCCCATAGTGTTCTACAAAGTCGTGAGTAGTACATGTAATTCAGTGTGATAAAAAATGAATTTGATCTCGCATTTTACACTTAAATTTGGAGCTCGCACCGGGATGTGAAAGGATGCATATTCGTTCTGTGGACTTTATAAATTCTACACCTTTTATCTAGTGTTTTACAACTTAGCTTGCTTTTACCTGGGTAACGGAAGGGGAACGGGAAAAAAAGTCGTGCAAAAGCAAAAAAAAGTATAGCAGGATATTTTTCGCGGAATGTTAAATTGTGGATTTGCTTGGTTCTGAATATATCTGGAAATCTGGAAAGGCCAGGAGGTTATTTACCTTCTTTTCTGAAAATGGAAATATATAAGAAAGTCCCTGAATAACGCAATAGTTCCTGAATAAGGAAAGAAAATACTTCTTTACCTACCCGAGCAAGGTTCTAAAATATTAATTTGATTCAAATTGCATGCAATACTGATACCACGTGCGTTGACAGACTTCTAATAAATTATATATATATATATATATATATATATATATATATATATATATATATATATATATATATATATATATATATATATATATATACATAAAGCATCTTTATTTCTAAGAATCAAGGAACCAAAAGAACCCGTACCAAGTGTTTTCTGAGAATAAGCAAAAACTGCAAACAGTAATATGTAGAAGAAATGCTACTACGTAAACAAAATTTTATAATTTCGTAGAATCAAAAATTAGATTACTCTTTACATAATATTTTATTTTATGTGGAAAGGCCAGGAAGTAACGTTAGAATAATATCAAATATACTACCATGGTTTATATATATATATATATATATATATATATATATATATATATATATATATATATATATATATATATATATATATATATATATAATTTAATTCTGTTATCATAAGGTAAATCAACAAAATTTTAATTTATCAACAAAACAATCAAGGGAATAACACGGATAAAGATACAATGCTAAATGAAAATAATTTCCTTTTTTTGCTACCTGACCTTAGGTGAATTTGCAATAACTATCTTATTAAATATTTTCATATAAAAATAATTTCATTAGAATATTCATATGAATTTTGATAAAATATGAATAATTTGAAAAAAACTAAGTTTAGAAATGGGTGAAAATGGAGAGAATTCTTCTTCCACTACTGCGTTAAAAGCATAAAATTAATTTTGATCTGAATATATTGAAATATGCTTGTGTTATATATACAGTTAGAGGGGATCATTTGTTAGCCTGCGAAGTTCTATTGACACGAATATTTCCTGACCAAAAAACATATTTGTTATTTTTTCACATGGCTGAATATGAACAAAATATATTTGATTTTTGTTGAAAAACAAATTATGGAGATAGAATTCTTAACCTTAAAAACGCAAAAGGTAAACCAACAATCAAATATGAATCATAAAGTGATCTACATATGGAACAAATAAAACGCGAGTCCTTCGATTTCCCAATTACTCATACTGAATATCTGTCTGTTGGATCCCATAAACTTCGAACACTTAATAAAATTAAAATAAAATAATAAAAAGATACATGCTTTCTCCCGACGTACCGAGTCAGACGCAAAATAAAACAGGAATTTTGTTAAAATGTTTACTTTTAGTTTATGATGCATGAACCCTTTAATTGAAAATTTGCCATTTTTAATAATCGCTAGATGCAATTTATTTGATGCCCTAAGGCTTTTATAAATATTCACGCCCTGGACTTACATTGTTATGTCTAAATTAAAAGTTAATATGGTTTCCATTTATTTCTTTGTAATTTTATCCTTATTTTGTATTTGATTTAGTAACACTGGAGTTCTTTGAGTAGCTCGACAGTTAGCCATAATGTCCTCCCCAGCACCGCCAGGATTTCATGAATATGATTAACTCGAGTCCTAACCTTAAAGTCACCAACAAAATCGGATGACTTCATCATAATTGACGAGGGATACTGTAAACAACTCTCTTACGTAACAGAATTATAAGACTCTAGCCAATATTTTATTAAAATGAACGCCGAATTTAATGAATACCCTGCTTGTTTTACACTGCACTTGATTTAAATATATAGCCAAACTATTTCTTATTTCTTTACTTTGGTCGAAAACATGCCTTAAATCAGAATTGTATATCTTTCAGCAATATTTTTAACATTTAAGGTGCATCGTGCATTTGATGAATCCCCTGTTTGATTTACACTGCACTTGATTTAGATATAAATAGCGAAACTATTTTTGATTCCTTTAATTTGGTTGAAAGAAATGTCATATCAATCGGGCCAAATCAAAACAAAAATCAGTTATAATATTTTTTTTATCATACTCAGTGACAATAACTCCCAATTAAGAATCGATTCTCGAAGCTTTTTAATATACATCACCTTTCTTCGTAGTATGGTTTTAAGAAATTTAGAATTAATCCAATTTTTTTTTCATGATTACCTTTTAAAAATATACATATACCTTATGAGGCAGGTCCTGAAATTGCAAGATGTAAGAATACCTCTTTAGTTACTAGTCAGCAATGAAGAATTCTTCCAATGCATTAATTTATCTTCATTTGCCTTCTTAACACAGTATCTCTTTTAAAAGCAATGCAAATTTACCGAATTGGACTTTGTAACAATTTAAATGCCAAGCAATTAAATGGTGTCAATACAGAAAAAGACATGAACCCATATAAGAACATTAACATTTACTTCAGTTGTCAATTGTGACAAATAATTTTTAATTTCAAGCAAAAATAGCCTTATTCGATCTTCATCATTTGCATCTTTTAAAGAAGCATAATACATACATGTTGCACACTTGATTTGATTTTTATGAATGTTTGACATTGCAAAAATTAAAAAAAAAACTTGAACTTTCCTTTAGTTCGCATCATGCGTTTTTAAATTTAGAATTAAGAACTGATTTTCAAATTGAGGTGAGGAACAGGTTATAAAATCGCTGTTTTTCTTGCTAAGCTGGTTTTGTTGTAGCATTTAAGAAAACAATTACACTCTCCGTGGGTTTTGATTTATTTCACAAGATTTTTCTACATCCATTTCTTAAATGTTCGAGGGTAGTCATTGTGTATCGTATAGGAAGATTTTAACATATACAAAATGCCTTAGATCCGACATTTCAATTGTGTCCTTTAGTCTTAAATTATATATCACTCAGAAATCCCCTTCTTCATATTCTGATAGTACATTTATATACCACATTTGAATCAAGTTTCGTAGAGATTGATTTGCTCCGAAAAATAAAAGAAGTGTTGGGGGGAAACTTTGCAATCAAGCATACCAAATTAATAAACCAGAAAATAAAACCGCAGATCGTGACCCATTTTTGTTCAGAGTATTTTAAATGAATAAGATATAGTGCACCTCGAGCTCTATACATCGGTTGAGTACAAACCAGCCTTTAGTTAATTGCACCATTGACATTGTATTTATATATATATATTTTGGTGAAATTATGAAATAATTGTATCAATAGCGTATATTATAGAAATCAATTGATCTTTAACGCTACAGATCTATTGAAGACGTACATATTATCAGATGCAAGCATATGTTAACAACTTTAATGGAAAAACATTAAAGAAAACACACATATTATAAGCTCTTGATTATTTTTCAATTTTTATTGTTTTTATTGCGGTAATATCACTAGAATAAAAATTGTGTGTGTGTTTTATATTTATAGTGGCAATTGTAATGCAGAAAAAAAAATGAGGGCATATTCTTATAAGACAAAAAAAAAAATACTAAAAGATATTTCAGAGTATGATTCATAGTACATATTGTACCGTTGTGTGAGTTAAAAATATAAGTATAATTTACCTTTGTGCCTTGGTCTCCCCCCTGCATGACAAAAATAGGTAACGACCAATAACACGAAGAAAGTTCCCCGGACTCTCCACATTTTTAGAATGGAGACGGTTTACTGTACCCCCTGGTAAGTAAGGAGCTTTTTATATCTCTATAGGACATTAGCCAGGCGGACCGTAGAGAATTGATTATCAAGTGTAACTGATATCGCTTGATGTTTTTACTTTCTATCTATATATTTTAAGTGCAATAAATGCATCATCTGTAAAAAAGGGGAAACCTGATCAAAGTGTTATATACGACTCCCATGTTTATCTAGCAATCTCCGCAAAGTATTCTCTGATTTATTTTACTCTGTAGTATAAGCGGTCTGTATGAAAGGAGTTGGGGGGGGGGGGGGTCGAGTCCTTCTTGGTGCAGTTGACCCCTTTATATAATATTGCTGACTCAGCACTCTAACGACTTCATCAAAAAACCTCAGTGTTGTAAATTTAGCAAAAGATGTCAAAGTTTTAATTTATTTGAACTGAGTCACGTAAGGAAAAAGAAAATTTCGGAATCAATTTTTTTTTTTGTTTTAAGAATGGGTCTCGTGCCGACCTCAACCTAATCTAATTATCCGAATTAGTGTATGTATGATTAAAAAAAACACACACACACAGAGATCAGCTGACTTTTTAAGTCCCATATAATCACTGCTTCGGCGACTCAGGTAAGGTTGAATTATGACGTCAAAAAACTTTGCAAGGATTCTTATCAAGACCTTGACAGAATTCCTATATCTTATTACTTATATTAATTTACATTTATCATGATTTATAATAAATATTTATGTATTATAAATTTAAAACAATGAAATGATATTTTTTTCAAACCTCAACAGTTTCAGTTGAATGTGTTGAGCACGGTTGAGTTTTAATTTGACCAGTTAAGAGTTTACTTTTCCAAAATTGTGAGTTTCGTGGCCCCTGGATTAGGTAGACTTGTTAATTATAGATAAATAAAACAAGAGACAAAATACCTCTTTTGGTACTTTATCTCTTTTGTATTGAGCGGATAAACGAAATGCATAGTTATGATGATCATTGTGCATCTTTCAAAATTCTGCATTTCATGGACCCTGGGTCAGAGGTTCTGGTGTTGGGGTCTCTTGAGTATATTGTTAAAAAACATTAGATATTTAAAAGTCGTCTTCTTAACCCCTGGGTATTTAGAAATCAAACGAAGTGAATAGTTATAATGAAGAAGGATACCTTTCCAAAATCGTGGATATCATGGACCCTGGGGTGCGGGGTTCTAGTGTTAGGGTGGCCTGGCCACGGAGTTAGCTCCTTGCTGGGTTCGTCGCATTCGAACTTGGAGACGACGGCGGAGTTCCCGGGAGGACGGTCTCTATTGAATATATTGAGAAAATTAAAAAAATGGTTTGAAAACCTTCTCTGCTCCTGGATATCTACCAGATAATCAAAGTGCAAGATTATGATGAGCAAAGATGTCTCTTCCAATCTAAATTTCATAGTCCCTAGGTCAGGGATTTGGTGTTATCGCAGGTCCCTCTTGATTATATAGTGAACTTGCATTTTTTAAAATCTTCTCTGCTCCAGGGTATTTAGCAAACATACTTAGTGCATAGTCATGATGATGAAGGATGCCTCTTCCAATAGTGCTAATTTTATGGCCTCTGGGTCAGAGGTTCTGGCCCGTGGATTACCGTATATACTCGCCTGTAAGTCGGTTTTCTGGGAGTTAAACTTTGGTCCAAAACTCTTTATCCGACTTACACGCGAGTTATAAAAAGATTGGTTTAAGCAGGTCAATTCCTCTTATTTAAACTTAAAAAATACAACCGACTTATAGACGGACCGATTTTTAGGCGAGTATATACGGTAAGAAACAGACTTGGACTTACGTCAGATTTTAATCCCCTTTGAAATATTTATTAATTATTGAATTAGTCTCTTAATTTGCGGATAACGAACTATTGTAAAGTAATATTGTAAAATGTTTTTATTTTATTTTGGCCTGCTTGACTCCTACACATTTTAGTAAAACATAAATATTTTTGACCTAAGATGTTTCATGATCCCGGGGCCTAATGTAAGACAGGATGGGGCTCTTTTGATAATATAGTGAAAAAAGCGTTAATTTGTTAAAGTTCTCTCCTCTTTTCCTTGGTATTAAACAAATCAATTTTGGTGCATAGGTATCATAGGCAGGGGCGGGTCTTGTTTATCATACTAATTGTTAGGCCATTATTTACACACTGGATTGTCGAAAAGTACAGTAAACAACTGGTTTTCAAGTGGCGTAAATTTTTTTAGAAAAATAGAACTTTGGATGATGAAAGGTCCAGCAGCCTATTGCAAGGTCGTCCTTTCCTCGTTGACAAATTGAGAGCGTTTATGGAGTAGACCGCCGATGCACTTTGCTTGAGCTGCTGAAATTGGAAAATCATATGGAAGACAGAGCGTATTTTGAAAGCTGGTGCGAGATGGGTACCCAGGCTTTCATCGAAGGCAGAAATGGAGAGAAGAATGCAGGGTTCTCTTGATTTTCTAAGTCGATTGGAACAAGAGCGTGAGATGGATTTGACATAACTAACTTGTGTTCGAATCACGGCCGCGACTGGCCTACATGTAAGTCGATAAAAAGTAGGTAACAACTGTCAAGCTATCATCACTTTGAAGTGAATGTTGCTGGTCATTCAGAGGAGACCTTAAAAACCGAGGCCCCGTGGTACGATAAAGAACCCTCACTGCCTGATGGCCCTGAATACCGAGTAATGGTCTAAATTTGAAGCCCTTCACCGGCATATACTGACGTCTCTGTATGAGTGAAAAATTCTCGAACGGGACGTAAAACATCATCGAAACAATCAATCCTTGGGAAATCTGGCTCTTTGCATTTTCCATGCCAAAAGAAAAATCACAGATTGATTGTATGTTGTTTTACGTCCCATTCGAGAATTTTTCACTCGTATAGAGACGTCACCATATACCGGTGAAGGGCTTCAAATTTTGACCTTTACTCGGCACTCAGGGCCATTGAGCAATGAGGGATCTATATAGTGCCATCCCCTGCCGTGACACGGGACCTCAGTTTTTTAAGGTCTCATCCGAAGGACCCGCAGCTTTCACTTCAAAGTGCCGAGCGCATGGCGAAGGAACAGTTGCTACCCATTTTTTATTGACTTAGGTCAGTCGCGGCCGAGATTCGAACTCACGACCTCCCGATCACGGAGCGAGCTCTCTACCGACTGAGCTACCGTGAACGGTGTCACTTACAGAAAATATATATTGAGTGCCCCTGGACCAGTGCACCGAAAACTCATATCAAAGCATAGCAAAACCCAAAGTTAACCTGCTGCTGAAGGTAATACTGACCATACAGAAAGTCTGTAAACAATTCAGGATCAAGAAGATTCAGATTGCCGAGAGAAACGAAATTATGGAAGGAACACCAGTGCGACTGAAAACTGAACAAAAAACTGATGGTGTTAATATGAATGCTTACGGAACCCGAATTGTCCTCAAATTAATAAACAATGTAAAAATGTTTATCAGTATAGATGTACTAGGTTGCCTGTTTTGGGAGATACTCAACGTTAAAGCCGCCCACCTATTTCTTTTTATAAATGTTAAAAAATTCCAAGTCAAGTTTTACGTGTTGTCTTTTTATCAAAAGCTTCTGCTGTTTGAAATAAAGATAATCCTGAATGATCAAAAATAAAGCATGTTTATATTTTTTTTTTCATTTTCATCAGAGAAAACTCATTTAAATGCATGCTTTCAGGATGCAGGAGATGAACCATTAAATTTGCTTGATTACACAAATTTGCTTGTTTTTATTTTTAATGTTTGGCAGTTCTACAGATTATGATAGAAGTGTTCAATTATATACGATGTTGATCAGTATATATTTTTAATGTGGGTGGAAAAGTATGTGTAGTTTGCCGAGTTGACATAAAGTATGACACAGGTTATGAGCCAAGCAGTGTAAAATGCAATAAAACCAGAGCAGATAAAAAGGTAATTTAAAAGTGAAGGATGATAAAAAGATCAACTAGGTGTGAAGGACGTTAGTTTTCATTTTACGGGTGAAGCGACGGTGAAATTGCGATACATTAAGAACTATGAATTCTTAGATATGGCTGTGTATGAAAGATGTGATAAACTGCTACATCCTGTTAAACACCATATTTTATCAGATTAAAAGCAGAGTAAATATATTTCAAAATATCTTTCAATACATTTTTTGGGGGAAAATCTGTTGACGATGTTTAAAATCGTTTTGAAAACAATTCACGAACTAGATATTCCATTTAACATATTCCATTGAAATCCATGTAAATCAAATTGTTAATTTCTCAATACGTCTGTAGTATTTAGAGGAATCTCAACAACACACCAAAATTAGAAAACATTAATTACATGGTCGTTGTAAATTAATTTGTTCATCGACAAAACGATGGTATTTTTTCAATTTCTTTCGGTTGTTTCTGGAAGTTTCTACAGTAAAATTCCGATTGTTCCATTTATAAAATGGGATCAGTATACAGATCCGACATTTGATCGTGAATCTCGGGAATTGTTGAATTAAGCAAGTTTAGCCTTTTTCAACAAGCTTTGCCGTCTTTAGCACAACCTTAAACTGCGATTAAACTGACCGACACCTACCAGGTCGTATTATTCTTTAGCATCTCTTAGTTTTGTATTTTATATCAATTTTTTACAAACATAAGCCCTACCATATGAAAGACGTGCAAAAGGACGAATAAAAGAGGAATAAATTCAAACTGTAATTTTTGCATGCAATAAAAACATGTCCGTTTCCCATGAAAATATAAAAACACCTTTTAGTAATTGCAATAGAAAATTTAAATCTTATTTCTATAGTCCTCTGCTCGTTTTGTCGATGTTTTTTAATTTAAAATCTTTAAAAAATTATTAAGTCAAACGCAAAATTGATCACCAGAAAATTATCTCCCTTGCTTTGAACAGCATTTCCACCAATGAAATATGTAAAAATTTTCACATCATGCAATTTCTAACATTCATTAAAGAGAGGAAGTGCATAGTCACGAGACTGAAGAAT